TATGCACATTATGTATACTGTACATGCAATATATATATATATATATATATGTAATTTGCATATTATGTATATAAATATTATCTATCTACTATACATTTAGTATACGTATGCACATCTATACAGGTGTTTATACACTGTATTTTGAATACATATCTATATATATATATATATATATATATATATGTGTGTGTACATGTGCGTATGTATATTATTTCCTGTAGAATATATATAATTAATATTCTTTCATTATGCATAGTATAATAATAAAATATAAATAACGGTAAAAGAATATAAAACGAAATATTAATATTAAATTAAAATAATATTTCTTTGGCTTGCAATCGCAGATAAAATCATTCAGCGACACCGCTGGTCTTCGCATTATTATTTTTAATTATATTATTACTTTATTACGCATTGTTATTATTTTAAATTAATAAACATATATATATATATATATATTTATATTTATTTATTTATTTATTAAATGTTGCTGGGGGGTGCCGCTGGTCTTCGTATTATTGCCTCTTAATTTTATTATTTTATTATTATTTATTGCTAATATTATTAATAATGTAATATATATATACACAATATAATATATATATATGTATATAATGCTGCTGGGTAGCGTTCGGGTGTATCTGCAGCTAGGAATTTATGTTTGTTTATAATTTTGGTTTAGGTTGCATCTACAGATGAATTAAAAGAAAGAGAAAACCCGAAAACAAATAAAAATATAAATAAAGACAAAGAAAAACAACAGAACGTCTGTTTGTTTGTTTATTGTCAAATGAGCGCAGCAAACATATACAAAGAAATACAAAATGAGTAAAAAAGAATATAAATAAATAAATAAATAAATATAATGCTAGCAGCAAAACTACACAACAAATAAACCCATCATTACCCTCAGCATGCAGCAGCTTTGATGCAGCTGACTGCCCTTGGTGCTGCTGTTGCTGCTGCTGCTGTTTCTGCTGCTGCAGCAGCTGCTGCTGCTGAGGCTGATATTACTGCATCTAAGCACCCTTTTAATTTTTGCTGCTGCTGCTGTTGTTGCTGCTGCTGGTGTTCTTCTGACTTGTGTTACAGCAGCTGCTGCTGCTGTTGCTGCTGCAGCTGTTATTCTGGCTTCTGCTACAGCAGCTGCTGCTGCTGTTACATCAATTGCTGCTATTTTTGCTGCTATTCTTTCATCTGCTGCTTTTATAACTGCTCGAGCTGCTGCTTGCTTGTTCTTTCAACTGCATCAACTGCAGCAGCAGCGTCAGCAGCATCAGCATCAGCAGCAGCAGCAGCAGCAGCAGCAGGATATTTAAGCATCTCTTTTAACAACCCCTGGTCGGCGTAGGTGGAAACTCTCTGAATTTTCTGAGCAGACGATTTGGTTTGGCGCTGCTGTAATTGTTGCTGTTGCTGCTGTTGCTGCTGCTGCTGCTGCTGCTGCTGCGGGTCAAAATGCTGCGGCTTTCAGGATCTTCTGCTCTCGCTACACAAATTGCGTAGGCTGCACTCACGCGGCCCCCTGTACGTAGCTTGTCTGCAGAATAAACAAATTAAACAAATAAATAAATAAATAAATAAATAAATAAATAAACAAATAAATAAATAAATGCATTACAATTATACAGATGATATATAACGCAATTATATAAACCAACAATTCTGCAAGCAAATATATTAAATAAAACAAAGACACACGCAGCAACAGCAGCAGCAGCAACAGCAGCAACAGCAGCAGCAGCAACAGCAGCAACAGCAGCAACAGCAGCAACAGCAGTACGATTAGCAGCACCATCAGAAACACCAGCAAGATCACTAGCAGCAGCAGCAACAGCCACAACAGCAGCAACAGCAGCAGCAGCAAATAATTAAAAGCAGCCTAAGCATGCAGCTAAATAGATACATAAGCACAAATATATATATTATATATAATATATATATTATATATGATACATACCTTTAAGAGATCTTGGTTTATCAGCAGTTGTGAATAGAATCTCTTTAAGCTCTGCTACTCTCATAGGTCTATGAGACAGCAACATAGCTGCTACACCCGAAACGACAGGTGTAGCCATCGAAGTCCCCGACAAAGATTTGACTGTATGCGGAGGAAAAGTAGATAAAATGAATACACCCGGAGCAGCGAGGTGTACAGCGTTCTTTCCATAGTTGCTGAAGTTAGCTAATCTATCGTTTTCATCTGTAGCAGCAACAGATATAACATTATCTACTTTATAAGCACCTGGATATTCAGGTCGTACATCTGCATTATTTCCGCTGTTTCCTGCAGCAGCAACAAATAGCTGCTCAACATCAGAAGCTCTCTTTATTGCTTGTAATAAACCGCTTGATACATCAGGGCCCCCCCAAGAGTTACTAGTAAGATGAAAGTCCATTTCAATAGCATAATTAACTGCTTCTATAGAGTCCGATGTTGCTCCAGAGCCCTGATCATCTAAGAATCGAAGACCTGCTATGCTGATATTCTTACAAACACCTTGTGCAACTGTTGTTATCGGTGTTGCACCTATAATACCCGCACAATGCGTACCGTGACCATGAGGATCTACAACCTGTGCTCTTTTAAGAAAGAAATCAAAGCCGTTTATATCGTCTGTATATCCGTTTCTATCATCGTCTATCCCGTTTGCAGGTATTTCATATTCATTCCGCCAAATATTATTGCGCAAGTCGGGATGATCAACTTCAACGCCTGTGTCTATTACTCCTACGACTACTTCTCTGTCGCACTTGTTCAATTTCCACGCTCTGTCTATGCTCGCTACTTCTAACCAATACGCCAAAGGAGAAGGCTGACTAGGATGAGGAGGAGGAGCGCTGGGCCGCTGAGACAAACAACAACAAAACAACAAAAACTAATTATTTAAATATGTATCTATTTATATTGTATTTATTTGTTTATGTTTATATATATGTATATAACAGTATATATATTTATATATACATATGTTTATTTACTTAATTATATACTATATATATAGATATAGATAAAGATACAGATATAATCAATAGCATAAACATCTGCAGCAGCAGCAGCAGCATGAGCAGTAAGAACAGCAGCAGTAGTAGCAGCAAAAGAAACATCAGCCTCAGCAACAAGAGCACCATTAGAAGTAGCACCATCATCAACAGCAAGAACAGCAGCAGCAGCAGCAGAAGGAAGAACAGCAGCAGTGAAGACAGCAACAAGTAACATCTTACTACAGCAGTTTCATCAATGGGAGGCCCTTCAAAGATAGGGTAAAGGCGTTGAATAGAATCTCTTTCTACGAAAGATACGCAGCTATCATCTCTGAATGCAGATATAGCTGAGTCAATATCTGCAGAGACCAATGGACAGTCTGCAACAGACACCACACTAACGCCGACGCGCTTTAGATGCTGATTGTTTATTATGCATGCATTCGAAGGAGCAGATAAACCCGTTAAGCGGTAGCCTCCAGAGTCTGAAGGAAGCTGCAGTTGAAACAAAGCTTGGCTCCGGCTGTACGTAGTGTAGTCTTCTGATGCTGTCTCCTTCACATTCAGCACCAACCTGTCACCAGAACAAGCACCAGCAGCAGCAGAAGCAGCAGCAGCAGCAGCAGTAGCATCAGAAGCAGCAGTAGCAGAAGTAGATGGACGACGTATTGTTGCATTAGAAGAGTCTAGTTATTTTAAAGTATGTATATATGCATGTATGTATCTATATATTTATTGTGTAATCCATAGAATAACAAGAATTAGTTGTAATAAAGTAATATTATGGATACTACAATTATATCTACACTTTTTATATCATATTTACAACAAATGTATTTGATACATACGGTCCAAAGAGAGGTATTTAAGAAGAAAGCAACAAACAATAAAAATAATATATTACATTCATTCTATTAGTAAAAAAACTGTAAGCTAAAAAATAATAATACTGACATTATAGATGCAAGTGGATGTTATCCATAACACTATAAAGGCAAGTATATATTACTTCAATAACATTATGAATGCAATACTTACGAAGCAGCAGATTCAATAGTTTTTCCTTCTCGTCTTTGATACGCAACATATGCAGTTTTAACAGCTTGTCGAAGACTTCGAAGAGATGTTTCTTCAGGGTTGCAGCCTTCTTTGAATCCTGCAATAAGTCTAGTTTTCACGATTTCCCTTACAGAAGGTTGATGTGCAGCATTTGCTGCATTTATCAAGAACACCGAAAGGAGCAGTGCAAAAGACGAATAAAATGCCATTTCAGTTATTTAATTCAAAAAAATGAGGAAATTATCGCTGCAAACGCAAGTGAAATGAAAAAGAGAAAAATGCGACTGCAGCGAAGGTGGCAGTGCCACGGGAAACGACGAAAATTGACAACACTTCCAACACAAAACAAAAAAAGAATACACAATAGACACAAAAAATGAAATAAATAAAAGAAAAGAAAAGAAATAAATGGATAAAAAGAGGAAACTGAATGCAATTTCCTCACTTGTTCATAACCAGTGGTGTATATACACCGCAAGAGCGGTCATGCAGTGCTAACTGACATGCTTCCTTCTACATCTATTTTCCCAAGATATAAGCTTAATTTATACTTTTTAAGCTTCTTTTGGATTAACAGTTTATTATTTTTCCTTTAAAGCTCAATATTTCATAATAGTACACTCAACTTGCAAAGCTTGCAGACGTCTCACCGTCGCTCTAATATATCATCACGCTGTCGCTGCTGACGTCTTCAGGAAGAGAAACCTGATTTAATTCTCCAAAAAATCATTTTGTTTTTTGTTTAATAATAAATTTACATTAATTCATAATTATTTTGCTTCTTTTTCATGTTGCAAAGGATATCCAAAAGGTTTATTTCAAGCCATCTGTATGGGAGAAGAGGTGAGACCCAATGGAACACAGAATTCTGCAATGTCAGCAAAACACTCTCTCTCTAGGTGTAACAGAAGAAACGACAAAACGTAGTAAATAGTATTAACAAACGCAGCACCTATTTAATTAAATTTATAGTCTTGGAGCAGCCAGCAGACCCACAAATGCACATCTTTACTCCTTATTGCTGCTCCTATCGATGCAATTTCTAACGCTCCTGCGATTTGTCTGTCTTTATCATCATCATCCACAGAACATCCCAACAAATATACATCACTCCAATATATATATATATATAGGCATTCGTACGTGTATATATTCATATATATATATATATACATATACATATACATATACATATACATATACATATACATATACATATACATATACATATACATATACATACACATACACATATGCGTATATATATATTTTTAAATGTTATATTGTTTTGTTCCTGATGTTGCTGGCAGTCAGGGTGTTTTTGCTTGAATTTGTAATTAAAAAATAAGAAAGAGACATTCGAAGTGTTGTTTACTGTTATTATTATTACCATTGCTATTATTATTGCTGCTATTATTATTATTTTATTATTGTATTGTTACTATTGTTATGAATATACTGTCATTATCATCATGCTATTATTGTCTTTGCTTTTATCATTATTATTATAACTACGAATATTGTTTTTATTAGTATTATTACTATTATTATTATTAGTAATATTATTATTAACTGCTATTATTCTTGTTAATAATATTGTTATTTTTGTATTATTATTCCTACTCTTACTATTTCTATCTGTATTATTACTCTTATTATTAGTAGTAATATTATTATTAACTGCTATTATTCTTGTTAATAATATTATTATTGTTTGTATTATTATTCCTACTCTTACTATTTCTATCTGTACTGCTATTGTTGTTGTCATTACTATAATTATTATTAACATTATTAATAATATTATTGTTCTCGTTAATAATGATAAAAATATTATTCACATTGCTGCTAATAATAATTATATTATTACTATAATAATTATATTGCAAATAATAATTATATTATTATTATTAGTATAAACATTATTATAAATAACTGCAATATTTCTATTATTCTCATTAATAATATTATCCTTAATATTATTCTTGTAATAATAATATTATTCGCGTTAGTAATAAAAACAATATTATTGTTCCCGCTAAAACACTATTATTATTATCAATTATTATTATTATTATTATTATTATTATTATTATTATTATTTTATTACTATTACTTTTTTAAGTAAAAGAAACAACAGGTGTTTTGTTGTGTGGAGTTAGCGGGTCAAACAAAACCCAAAAATTCTGCTGCTGATAAACAGCAGCAGACAAACAACTTGTTTGCATGCACTTAACATGAATATATTTAAAATAAAATAGAATAAAGGATATAAATATATAATATATCACTTAATTATATAATATATAACTTAATAACTTATTCTTCTTACTCAAGGACACAGCTGCAAAAAACAAGCAAACACCCTTCTTATGCGCACACCAACATATATATCTACACATATACACCAATATATATATATATATATACTGTATATACACTAATATATATATGTATATATTATATATATTATATATATACATATATTTGTAGGTATACTTATGCGTAAAATATATGCGTACACGTTACGTGTTCATATACTATATGTTTATGTATTTTATACATATATGCATTATATATATAATATAGATTTATATTATATATATTATATATAATATATATAATATATATATTATATATATTATATATATAGGCGCATGCATTGAGGGAAGGCGAGACTGCATTGACACTGAAGGCTGTTAAAAAAGTTTTTTCTTCCAGCAGTCTGCGGTGTACATACACCTCAGCTTGGTTTGTTTGTTTGTTTGTTTTTGTTTTAGTTGGTTTGTTCATCACTTCTTTTTTTATCACTGAGCAAACTCCCGCAAACAAACCAAACAAAAATTGAAAAACAAACAACGCAAGCAAACCGCTAGAAGGCAAACAAACAAACACCAAAGTAAGTGACGCACATATAATATATATAATATATATAAATATATATTATATATTATATATATTATATATATTACGTATGTTTATATACAATGTGGATATATGCGTGTATGCATTGACACGCATAATATACATACGCTTCTCCATACACACATATATATACATATATATGTATATAAATATAAATAGATATTTACATATTTATATTTATATATATATATATATTATATACATGTATATATGTATATTTATATATTTATACAGACACATGAATGTACCTCCAGCAGCGCAAACTCTCTTCCCTCTCAATTGTATTATTCGCTTTATTTCTATGCATGCATTGCCACATAGAAATATATTTTATATTGCTATTGTATATATATATATATACATATATATATACATATATATATGTATATATATATATACATATATATATTTTTAATTGTATGCCTGTGTATAATGCTGACCTGTGTATATAATGCAAATACAGTATGTACATATATGCATATATAAAGAGTATGCATATACATATATATATTTATATACATATATATATATATACATGAATATGTATATATGTACATATAAGTGTGTGTATTTCACTGTTCTGCCCAGCAGCAATTCTTCTTTTCTTCTTCTTTTCTTTTTTCTTCTCTTCTACTTTTTCTTCTTTTCTTCTTTTCTTCTTTTCTTCTCTTTCTTCTTTTTCTTCTTTTTCTTCTCTTTCTTCTTTTATTCTTTTCTCCCTTCGTTTGTTCTTTTCTGCTTTTCTTCTTCCTTCTCTTTTTCATCTTCACTTTCTTTTTATTCTTTTCTTTGAGGTATGTCTTCATCTTTAGTTGTCATCTTTTTTCTCTCTCTTTGTTTTTCTAGAAGAGAAAAATTGAATTTAATAAATTTGTTTTTAATTGCAATAGGACGGCATTTATATTTTTAAAGAAACTCCTTGTGTATAATTCTGCTTCTTATTTAATTAATAATAATAATAATAATCATTATTATTCATAATAATTCTTATCGTTATTATTATAAATAAAAAGCATTCAATACACGCCATGTGTAATAATAATATAAATATATATACATATATATAAATATATATATGTATATTGTATTGCTCACTATAATATAATTGTTAGTAGATCATACAAACAGAATATTATATTGCTTATAATATAATAATAATAATACTAATATTTTTATTACTATTATTATTATTATTATAAACATATCGCATAAACATAAACTTGTCTTATATTCTTCCCCTTTGAAGGTCTCCCCAGCGGCATCGGCAACATTAATATATATATATATATTATTGTATATATATGTATATATTTATATACGTATTATATATATACATTATATTATTCATAATAATATTTTTATTATGATTAACATATCACACAAACATAAAGATGTCTTTGATTCTTCTTTGAATGCCTCCCCAGGTATATAATACATACAATACATATATCATAATAATAATAATAATAATAATAATAATAATAATAATAATAATAATAACTATTATTATTATTATTATTATTATTTTAATCTGCTTCAAAGGCGTCTCCGATTTGACCCGGGAAGCCGGCGTGAGAGAGCAGTCTTCCCAGTTCTAATCTCGTCGATAATCTCCTCTTGTCGTCTTCATCATTAATTTTATTTTTAAATCGTCTGTGTTTTGTTTTTGTTTTTGTTTTTGTTGCTGCTTCTGTTGCTGCACTGAGTTTCTCCGATAGTGCATGCAGCATATCTTCAAGAGAGCCCCCCGTAACATCTACAAGGCGTGAATATAATTGCTGCTCTTTTAAAGATAAACTAAATTCATTATTAACGCCAAATACTTCACCCCACTCATATTTGAAACGGTATACAGCAGCACCTAACTGCTGCTGAAGGCGTTCCAGTTGCTGCTGCTGTTCCTCAGTAGGAGGCTTGCTAGCAGCACTTACTGCTGCTCTATAGAATATCAACATCTCTGCTGCAGCTAATAAATCCTCCTCTAACAACAAAGCCGTCTTAGAGCGTCTACGCTGCCGCTGCTGCTGCCGCTGCTGCTGCCGCTGCTGCTGCTGCTGCTGCTGCCGCTGCTGCTGAATTTTGCGAGATTCGTCCAGCAGCACATCTACTTGCCGCAACAAACTTGCAGGAGCACTATCTAACATCATTCTATAATGATAAGGTACTTGCAGCAACTTGCTGATGCTACTTCCATCTCTAAACCAATCTAGGTGCTGATCTTCGTTATCCTCTCCAAGAGAAAATAAATCTTTTGTTTGCACTGATAGAAGCCTATCTTCATAATCTTCATTTACATCTGTGTCTGTTTGTTCATCTAAGAAATGCTGAGGAATATCAGACTCATGAGGTATAAAAGGAGCTTCTGTATGATCTTCAATTAACTTTGAGCTTTCTCCAGTACTATGTGAAGACAAACTCATCGAGAAAATACAAAATACACCGAGTGCAAGCAGTACAGGCAGCCAAGGAGAAGCTGGGGGGTTCAGCAGCACCTGCCGTTCAGAATATGTTAAGTAATGTCGCCGTCCTCTTGCTGCTGCTTCTTCTGCTTCTGCTGCTGCTGCTGCTGCTGCAGCCCGCTGCTGCTGCCGTTGAAGCCTCTCTAATGGGCTCGGGCCCCTTCTATAACTATCGGATAAACCCTGTAGCCATGGAAGAAGAGTAGCGTTTCCTGCTGCTGTTGATACCCGAGCAGGAGAAGCAAATCCTGCAGGGTTCATTGCTGCTGCTGCTCCTCCTTCTGGTGCTGCTGCTGGTGTTGTGGCTGCACCTTCTCCGCCTTCTGAAGATAAATCTCTCGGCATTTTGGGTTTAAATATTTAAAATATAATTAAAAAATAATACCGCGACAATTAGATCGCCATCGAAGCCTTGATATGCGCCTGCCCCTCTCTGTATGTAGCTGCGGTGGTGTATACACCTGAGTTAAAACTCGCCTCGTAAATGCAGAAAAATATTTAAATTAATTTAATTAATCAATATCTTTTATAATCATCATTCTTAATGCAACAAAAAACAGAAAAAACCTCTCTCGCCTCCCCCAGCCCCTCATGCACAGCCCTCGTTCTCCAGCCCCTGTTCTAGGGTTTAGGGTTTAGAGTATATTAGGGTTTAGGGTTTGTGCATTTTCTTAGCTATTTATACTTCTTTTTTGTTTCTATATTCTTTTTCTTCTTTTTTTCATTGCTATTTTCCAGTAGACTGCTACTGTAAGGCCCTAGTACAACACAAACATCACCGCAACCTGCAGCAGCAGCCGCTGCTGCTGCTCCTATTATTATTCGCTGAAACAGCAGCAGCAGCAGCTGCTGCAGCACGGGATATAACGAAAAGCGTTATTTTATTATTGGCAATGCAATAAATACAGCAATTATATTTCTAGATATATTTACACATATATGTATATAATAATATGCAGCATACATAGTAGCTTACATGCATTATGAAAACGCAGATGTATTTAATACACCTCAACAACCTCAGACCTGTAAAAGGTTATATTAGGGTTTAGGGTTTATGGTTCTTCTGTATTTCAATTGAATGATGCGCTGCTGTTTCCTTCTTCTTCCTGTTTTGCTTCGCTTGCTTGCTAAACCCTAAACCCTAAATTGCCTCGGTTGTTGCGGTGTGGGGATATAAGCTGCTGATCCCTCTTGTGCTATAAGCTTAGGGCTTAGGGTTTAGGGTTTATAGTGATGCGCCTTAAACCCTAAACCCTAAACCCTAAATCCTAGACTGCCGTTGAAATGAATGAGGGTGCTTAATGCATGCAACGGCAAGGCGGAAACAAATAGAAATAAACAAACAAACAAACAAACAAAGGAAGAAAAAGCAGGCTGCTGCCCTTAAACCCCGCAGGAAAAAAACGCAAGAAAGAATATTTCAAATAAACTGCAAATGCATGCACGCATGCATGCATGCAAATGCATTTGCATGCACTTGCATGCAAGCAATTGCATGCATCCATTTACATGCATTTACATGCTTGGACGCCTCTACATGCTTTTGCATGCATACATTTAGATGGAAACCTCTACATGCATTTGCATGCAAGCATTGATATGCATGCACTAATATGCATGCATTTCCATGCATGCACTGATATGCATGCATTCATATGCATGCAAATGCATGCATGCATTGATAGGCATGCACATTGCTATGGATGCAACTGCATGCAATTGTTGTAGTTAGTGCAGTGTTGTTGTTGTAGTGTTTGTTTGTGTATAAATAGCAGCAGAAAATGTATTTCTTACGAATTTAAAAATAGCAAACCACTCCTTCAGAGACTCTGCATTAATTGACTGTCCATACACCACAAAAGATGAACGCGGTTTCAGCGAATATCTACCGTCAGACTCCTGAAACCAAGTCGGGTACCTGTACACATCATAAACCCTAAACCCTAAACCCTAAACCCTAAATAGCCTTAAACCCTAAACCATAAACCATAAAACCTAAGTACCCCTAAACAAGCCCAACCGTTCTAAACCCTATACCCTAAATTCTAGACAGCTCCAAACCCTAAACCCTAAACCCTAAACCCGAAATTGAATATAAAAGAAGGCATGAAGACAAACCTTTTAGGGTTGCAGCGCATTACCCATGGAATTGACCCGAACCCAATCTCTTTGTATTGTGGAGGCACCTGAAGACAGAGAACAAAGAAAATTAAATAAATAAATATACATAAATATATATATATATATATTTATTTATTTATGTCTACATTTATTTAAATATCAATACCTATAAATGCACTTAAATATAAAGTTAATTTGTATCAATACATACATGCATATAAATATCTATCTACATATTTATATGTGGGCGAACATGTTTAGAAGGCTACAGAAATACATACATATAAGCATATATATATATATATATATATATTTATATTAATTTATTTATTTATTAAACAACATATAGAAAATATACATATATATATTTATATGTATATACTTACATCCTTGGCCTCAACACAAAGAGACGCCACTTGTCTATAATCTCTGAATTCCCTCCAAGCAGCGACTTGAGCTTGAAGAAGACCGCCGGGAGAAAAAGAAGAAAATTGTCGTTGAGATAAAAGAGGTGTAAAGAGAGGGAAGGGTTCATAGCCAGGCTTTATGTCGTCTGAAGGCACTTTTGCGTATAAATAGGGTAAATATGATGTGTCTGCAAACATAAACAAACAAATAAATAAATAAATAAATAAATAAATATGTTTATTTATTTTATTTATTTATCGTTGTATCTACTCGCATGTACCTCTAACTCGATGCAGCAAATTACCTACAAACCCTAAACCCTAAAACTTCAACCCTAAACCCTAAACCCTAAACCCTAATGAACTAACCAGAAAGGTGCCAACCCCCGTGGAGGTAGAGCTGAGGCGAGAGATCAGAGGGTCCGTGGCGGGTGTATGCGTGGCGTTCATAAACAAAATCTGTCTTAGTTTCCAAATGCCGCAGAGACTTATAAGGCTGAATAAAACACAAACCCTAAACCCTAAACCCTAGTGTTGGACGCCTGTCCAAATACCTTCGAAAAGCAAAACCCTAATCGCTAGATGTGAAACCCTCAGGCCTAGACCCAAGCCTCTCGAACTAGCAAAAAAAGGCGTTTAGGGCTGCTGCACGTACGCGGAAAACCCTAAACCCTAAACCCTAAACCCTAAACCGTGATTTTTGCTAGAGAGGAAGCATGCAAGCGTGCACATAAGCAGCAGCAGGTGAGTAAGAGTGCGTTTGCTTACGAATGTATCTGCTAGAGGCCCTATTGCATGAGGGTATTTTGTTTGTTGAATGCCAGACATAACTTTAAAATCTTTCAACGCCATTGCGTCAATACGCCCGGGGTAATGTACTAACACCCACCCAAACTGCTGCTGAGGGAAAGGCTCGCAGAACTTCAGGTGCCGCAGACGATCCCCTACACCCAAACACATCAACCCTAAACCCTAAACCCTAAACCCTAAACCCTAAGGAATTGCGCGCACAAACCGCGGAATCATGATGCACGCGATCAGACATAACAGATACAATGAAATATAATATATGTAGATTATTTATAATAATAAATATATTATATATTTAATATATATATATATTCAAGTGTATATAGAATATGTATATACTATCTATATATAGTATATATATTATATTTGCTCCAAAATATAAGCATATGAAGTTATTTTGGGGTATATGAACAGAGAAAAAAGATGAATATGTACATCACAGGTTTATTCCATAGTCTCTACAACAACAATAAAAACAACAAAACGATTAACATGATAAGGAGGAGTTTCTACTCTCACCCCCACGACATACAAATCAACAAAAGATTAGCAAAAATAAATTATTATAAAGGAGTTTACAAAGGCAATAGTATTACAACAGCAGCAGAAATAATAACAAGCACAAGAATAAGAACAATAGTAATAATAATAACTACATTTGCGCTTGTGATGTTGCATTAAAAGAACAGAAACGAGAAGAAGAGAAGGAAAAACCATATATATATATATATATATATATATATTGCTGAAGCTAAAGACATTGAATGAGCGCCATATGCAACAGTTAATTGCGTTGCTTTCGGCTAAAATACTGCCCTAATAGAATTAAAAACAGGAAAAAAAGCAAGAAAAAATATTTTTGCATGCATGCAGCTTACCCATGACGATCTCATCGACATCGCTGATAAGTATAAGCGCATCATCTTCTAGAAAGCCTTTAGGAATATGTGTATTTCCATAGTTATTGAAACCCGCATTAAGATGTGCAATCATATGAAGAAGACTATCTCGTTGAAACATTTCATAATCCCAGCATGCATCTTTATCAAATTTTAACTGATCTTCGCTACAACGTTGAGCTACAGGAAGAGAGGCTTCGAACGGCTGAACTAAATGAATTACTTTATCAAGAAATGCACGATATCTTTCTTTATTTCGGTTAAAAAATAAAGGCTTTTGATATACACCTAAAGTGTGATGGTGCGCCTCTGCAACAACAAAATAATCTACTGCATGATATAATTCATGAAACCGTATTTCTAGTAAGTCTAGATCATATCTGCAGCAAAAAAGCAGAAAACAGAGACAAAAACAATCTTTTGAATGAATAATTAAAGTATTAATACATTTATTTACGCATTTATTCTATTCTTTTCATGTATTCACTCATTTTCCGATTACACACAAAGAAAACACCTGCAGCAACAACCATTCCTGGTGCTCTATTTTCGCTTTCATCTCTTGTATAATACGAAGACTTTATAATATTCTTTTAATTCTTTTTGCATGCATTTCAACTGAATCAATTAAATATCAAAGGTATTCACGTAGTATACGGGGTGAAAAGCAATAAAAAACACAGCTTCCTTTCAGTCCAGGGTTTAGGGTTTAGGCATAGGGAGCTCGAAAAAGAAGAAAAACGAAAATTAAGTGGAAGGCGTACCCTAATATAACAGCATCAACAATTTTAACTGGTTTCTTTCGAGGCTTTCCTGTAAAAAAACCCTTGTGGATTTTGCTGGCCTCTTTACAATAATCGTCAATGAGCACGTAGTTGTCGTGTTCCTTAGGGATTGAGAATACATTTGAAGGCTCCTGCTGCTGCTGTTGTTGCTGCTGCTGCTGCTTTTGCTGCTGCTGGTCCTGCTGTTGCTGCGGTTGTTGTTGTTGCTGTTGCTGTTGCTGCGGTTCTGTACAGGATTGCCCCTCCGCTGCAGCTTCCGCTTTGCATGTTCTCTGTTGATCCCGTTGTTGTTTTTCTTTTTGTGCTTCTTTTTGCTGCTGGCGTTCATTCCACTGCTGCTGCGTCAGCGGCACCACCCAGTAAGACGGGGGAGGCTTGCAGGTGTTATCTATTTGTACAGGAGGCTCTAGCTCGAGGTATGGAGTCATAAGCGAGAGAAAAGCAAACATATCTTGTCTGTACAACATGTGCATATACGGATTTAAAGGAAAAAAGACAGTTAATATCTTTCTTAAATACTCCGCCATATGATACTGCCACCGTACACGACCCCACCATCGTTGAAGTCTTAAAGGCATTATTTGCAGTACAGTTTCAAAGGAAGGATTGCAAATAGAATTCTTTGCACTCCTTTTATTCTTATTTCCCCCTCCTTCCTTGTCTATATCAATCTCAAAGTCTGAACAAATCCGCTCAGGATCATTAAGGAAACGGCCCGGCATAAACATATGCGTATGTATTCCTAAAGAACGCAAGAGGCCCCCCTGAACTTCTCTCTTAGGGGCCCCAAGAGGGTTTACTTCTTGGGGAGTTTCCCCAGGGCCCCCCTCTGGGGGACCCTCAGCAGTTTCGCTGGGGCCCCCCTGGGTATCCGCCGTTTGCTGCTCTTCAGAGGCATTTCTTCTGCTGCTTCTGTGTTTCTCGCAATTGGAATAAAGTATAAGTGAAGTCGCGAGCTCAGGGGATAAGTCAAGGTCGACAGTTTGCTGCAATTCTGCTGGAGACAGTGGAGTGTCTGTACTGCTTATTAGAGAGGCCTCCAGTTGTTGCAATTTATGCAGAAATACCTCCCGCTTCTGGGGACTCAGCTGAGCAAACCGAAACACCCAATGCACAGAAAGCAGAGGCAGAGGGACCTGCCCTTGTTCTCCGTGCAGCACTTGAGAGAGTTGCTTGTGCTGCAGTAGCAACTCGTGCGCTTGCTGCAGCACCTCTGAAGGAGCAGCAGCAAGCTCTGGGGTCTCCGGGCTGTTGCATATCTCATCAGACACCTCGTAAGAAAAGAAACCGTAGCCGCTGTCTATGAAACTCTGCTTGAGGGAGCGGCGTTGGGGGTCATTCCTATGAACTTTAAAAAGCTGCAAACCAAGCGGCAGCGACAGCAAGACAGGCAGATACAAAACCACCCAACGCCCCCACCGCATGCCGAAGATACGGTCCGGAAGAAGAAACATTATCATAAAAATCTAGGGAAGATCACTATAAAACGCATGCAATGCCTGCTTTTGATGCTCTTCACACGCGGGAGGGGTCGCGCCGCAGCCGCTTTTTCTCATAATTCCGCTTGTCTAGCCGTTAAATTAGTCCCTTTGGCAATGAAAAACACAAGAGGAGCTCCAACTGCTGTGGAAAGGGGTTTTCGGGTCTACGGTACCGCAACCGCACGCACCGCAGACACTAAACCCGAAACCATAAACCCTAAACCCTATGCACTAAAAACTCAACTCTGCTGAGTTTTTCTCCAAGACATCAAAATACTAGGGGGTGTTATGAGGAAAACAGAGCCGAAAATGGAACCGAAATACCCGAAACGCGGAGATTTCATGAAGAAAGAGCCGTCGTGAATGTTGCAAAGAAGTTGATCCATCGTCAGCAGCTGGGCAGAAACATAGTCGGCTGCAACAAAGTCTCCAAATAGATTTAAATGTCCGTTGTTATTGGCAAAAAACAATAATTAAATAACTAAATCGGGGAAATTACGACGAATTTACAGCCTCGCATGCGAATCGGAACGAGGCTTGTAATGAACAACAACGGATGGTGGGTCTCAGCTGCGGTTTCATAAGAGAGGTGAAGCCTGACGAAAGTGCCGCTTTGAACTGAAGACTGAACAAAGTCGTAATTCAGACAAAAGAAATAAGACAAGTTAAAAGGATTTCAAGACCTTATGGCCGTTTCTTCAGCTTCACCACCGCATTATGAAAACCAGCCCCTGCAGAGCCGGTATTACAATGGCAGCTGAGACTTGTCTTGTAGTATTGAAAGAATAATGCAAAATGTGTTTGAATTAAAAAAGTACGAATAAACAACTGTATTATCTGAGGGCATCATTTAATAACAGTTATTCGGATGGAGGCTAGCCGTTTGCATGTGTGTGGGATTCATTAGTGAGACAACTAGGTTTGTCACTGACACTCTAAAATGCTCTATCTGAAGTCTGTGCATCTCTTTCTAATTGCATGAGGACTGCCTATTGTAACGACAGTGCCCGCTGTTTTCCGAGGACCGTCGACAGCTGCGATCAACCCCGAAGACTTGTGAGGTTTCTACGACAATGCTATGCAATGCGGCTGAAGTGACGTGGCAGAGGGAATGGAAGCTCGAGAAAGCAAAAGAGACATGACAGCGAAGTCGTCACTGCGGCATATTTAATTATTGGCCAAATTAAATTTGTAAGAATTCCAGCGCCTATGTCAGTAATTATTTGAATGTTATAGCTTTAAACAAAAAAATAGTATAATTACAACTACAGAATTGAGGGTTTAGATGTAAGTCTAAAACTATCATTTGTAAGCCACCAATTGACGGTGCCTCGCACAAGCGGCGGAGCATGCGGCTTAACACGTGTACGTCTCTCACCGCTACCAACGGCATTCGCTTTCTCTAGTGTTAGAGAAGCGGGAGCAG